ACACGACGTCCAGGTGTAAGCAATAAACTAGCTCCTCGTGGAAAGGCCCTTGTGTTATAATATGTCAAATCGATGACCTTGTTTATTTCATTAAAAGGTCAGCAAAGTCTTCGGCCTCGCCGTTTAATGTTGATAGACTCATGAAGTATGGTGGCTCTCATATTCCTGTTTGGCTAAAGGAGCGGTGTATAAGCACCACTCTAAAGGATTAAAAATCAAAATGTTAGAATAATGTCAACTTTGTGTGGCAAGTCTGCGCAGTTGCATCTATTTATCTAATGGCTGGTCCATAACTGAGTTTGTGTTGTGTGTGCAACACATAATTTCGAATCGAGACGTCTCTTATTTGAGTAATGAAGTTGAATTGAACTCTTGCCAGCAATTTGCTCAAACGTGTTCTACTGGTAGAGATGAGGCGCAGTGAGAACATTAAATTGACCGATAATCTTCAACAATATTTATTTTAACTGAGTGAACTGTTCTGTCATGTCTGTCACATAGATGTTGTATTCTTTAACTTACCTTTGTAACGTTTTGGCATTTTTTATAATATAAAGATTATCGTTTTCTGAAATGATATTAGTGTTAACTAACTCTATTATGTTATTTGTTTATATTGCGACAATGTATTTAAGTTTACGGTACTTTACGATATACGTTTGGTATACGTTTTTTTCAATGAACGTTTGAAATCATTTAATTTAATAAACGTCTCAGTGATCACGATTACTTTGATCAGCCAATGAAAATAAGTCATGCTTGAGCGGTCATCTCAGCAGGTATAAATACGGCGATATGAGCCAGAATTATTCATTATTTACTTCTCCAAATCCCTCCAGAGGCGTGCACGTCGCGGAGAAGGCACACGGCAGGTCAAGGTCAAGTCATCTTAAGTACCAGAGGTGATTGGTTGACCTGTCGTGACTAACTCTGGAGGGTGGCGCTAACAAGAGCCGTTTTATGTCAACCGCCTGTTTGCAGCCGTCACGGAACTTGATGCTTTTCCGGTATTGTCTTTCCTCCATCGAACGAAGAACAGGACTTGGGAATATCGGCATGAAAAAGACGTCCCCGATGAGACTACTAGAGTGGACCGGCATGGACGCTGAGATTTCGGACATATGGAATTTCCGGCGCCGAGCTAAAATAAACCTAAAAACACACACAAGAATTATTCAGTCTGCAGAGGAATTCACCGGGACCAGGTTATTCTATGTAACTAAAGCCTCGCTTCATACATAGAGGATAATTTCGTCAACCTAACTGAAGCTTAGCTTCATAGGTAGAAAAGAAGAATTGGCCAAAACTAAATACTCTTGTTTATCCAATTGAAGCCTAGCTTCATGGATATAGTGTCGATAGATTAAAGTTTGTGAAATTGTATTTCACTCTGGGTACTTATAGACCACCACATTTTCTGAAAGCCTCGCTATCAGGGAAATGGTAACATATAGATATTAAAAATCCAGAGGTAGAGTAATAACGAATAAGTTTTGTGTAGATAAAAATAGTTGAAATTTGTTGTAAATCCCTACCAGCAACTTATCTTTCTATCTAAATAGAAGCCTCGCTTCATAGATAGGGAGGTAGTTGCTGGACTATAGGAAATTATCGGGTTGCAGCGTACGCGATATCTATAGCTTTCGAATTATTTCATAGTGTTATATTGTAAACATTTTTACTATATTGAGACTTTTGAGAATTTAATAGTGTATTTCGGAGTTTAATTCAAGCTGATTGTTTATGGTATATGATAATTTCTTGGGTATAGACCGATATGACATCATCATAACATTCGGGTTTATGGTCCCGAAGGAGGTCATTGAACGCCATCTTTCCTTGTTGATCTTGTTTATCATATTTAATAATCGTTTGTATCTAATCAACCGGCAGGTAGCCCAAAGAAATATTTATAAGATATTTGTTGTACATCCGCTCGGTACACGTTACACCTTTTTTTTTTTTAAATAGGCATGGCTTCTGGTGACACAAGGAAGGTGCAGTCTACTGTTGGTAATTTTGACTGCAGCCAATGTTCAGCAACCTTTCTTGTCAAAAACGAGTTGCTTGAGCACATCAGGAGTGACAAGCACGATGTTGTGAAAGTGATATGTCCTTTCTGCGTGACAAAGGAGCCGAGAATCTTTAAACGAGTAGGGGACTTGAGGTTTCACGCAAAGAAGAAACATCCCCAAGAGGTCCAGGAGGCTCCTAAGGGTTTGTTTACCACCAGGACAGCCTTTTACTTTGCCTTAGAGCCTCACAAATACATAAAGGACCATAAACCAGAATGTTATGATGATGTCATATCTGTCTATGCCCGTGATCTTGTTACGAAATGGTCCACTGGAAGACCGCCTTGTATAACAAAGTGGCTCGAAGGCTGGCAGCTGGCTAAAGGTCCAGCAAACAGTTCCGTCAAGAGACCCTCTACATCTCTAATGCTGATAGACGTCATTCTGTTCCCGCGAGAAATAAAAGCTCAATTTACTCTCGATGATTCCTATGTGATGGCTAAAGTTGACCTTGGTATCTCTGACGATTATAGATGAATAGAAAATATAATAAACAAGATCATCAAGGAAAGGCGGCGTTCAATGAACGCAGCCCCCACCCGACCCAGTAACAAGAGCCAGTGGCAAGGAGCCCAGGACCCCAAACAAAAACAGGGAAGGGCATAAGGCAGAGAACGGGCAGGCAAACCACTACCTAAGAATAAGTAATTAGAAACTGATAAGGAACTAAATGAAAACAAATAAATGATTGAATGTAAGGCCCATAAAGTCAAAAGACACAGGTGAAGGGGACACGAGACGGGGAGGGGGGGGGGATATAAATAGAATAAATAAAAAATAGGGGCAAAGGGGTAGATACTTACCGTAGACGAGAAAACAACAAGAGACACAAAAGCCTCACACATAGATCAAGGTCACTTAAGCCATCACAATTCCATCTGCCTCCTAGAAGATCCTTCATAAGCAGGAAACAAAAACCGAGTCTGCCGCTCTCTTGGGCATCCATGAGCGTTATGTCAATATCATCCTCCACAAGCCAAAGCCTCATTTCACAATTAAGATGCCTAAGACGGTGGCAGGCAACAAAGATTCGCCGATGACGACTCTTTTGGAGATGCCTCCGATCGAGCCGCCAATCCAAAGTCAGTGAAGAATGATGTGATTGGAGGTATATTGGAAGAGTGCGGAATTTTTCCACCACTTTCACCAATACCTTTACCTCCAACGATACACCTTGATGTCGCAGAAGATGACCAATAGACTGAAAAAAGTTGATGAATTCCCAGAAGATCCTCTTCAAAAGGAGGCCCATCAAAGTTATTTATAACAGACACACCCTGCCAAACTCCTCCTGTAACTCAACATTTTCAATTTTGCCGTGTTGGGCTTTCTTTAGGGATTCTGTATTTTTCTGTTCAATGTGCATCACCTGTCATGTCTGAGCCATCACATATTGAGCCGCCACCAGCTGAAAGTCAAACAGCTTCTAATGAGCCAGAAGTGCTTCATGATTACCATACTGTGTATGTCTCTTTATACTCATACCAACACCTAAAATTTCCTCAGGTAATGTCAGGACGAGCACCATCAGTTTATTGCAGGATGGATGTATGCCTCTCCTCCCGCCTGCACGCCGTGATTGGAATATTATTCCAGACCAATCAGTTCAACTTACTGAAGATTTGAAGTGGCCTCCAGCTAATTGGAATGCTTTATCGCCTGACCAGAAATCTATGTCAGTGGAATTTGCCGCTATGACCATATCACACATTTCAAATCCATCACAATATTTATCAAAGGACTGTTTCACTTAAGTACATGAATTCAATTCTCTTGTTCTACCTGGCAGTGGTCCATACAAAATTCTGGAAACAAAGTGATCCCTCGGAAGCATTAATCACAACAAAATTACATAAGAATTGCAGACTCGGTTTGATTCAGTCTGTACATGAGGGATAATGAATACGTGCAAGATCCCCCACGCCCCTTAGCACCGGCTTGAGCGGTACCCAATTAGGAATCATCCTAATTCTCTTTAATTCTCCTGCCAAATTACTAAACAAATTTCATTGAAATGCATTTTATAGCACAATGTTATTTCTCACCAAAATGATTACTTACAACTTAAAATAAAATGTTTACTCTATATTTTGTTATTATGATCAGTTGAGCTGTTCACTAATTTTAGGATGGGAATTCCCGACCGATTCTGATTGGCTTAGATAAATCCTTAGTGCAATCTGATTGGTCAGGAATCCTTTCATAAATTTCTAAACGGCTCAAAAGTTATACATAGAGCGACAGTCTTCATTTTGGACCAACAACGCCCACGAAAGTTGCGAAGGCGCGATTATTTAAAATTGAGCAGAAAGCATCAAAACTGTTTTTAGCAAGACGTTTCTATTTAGGAAAACAATCTGTAAACAAAAACTGGAAACAAAAACTCCTAATTCACGTTGGAATATGTATTACACTTTAAATAAGCAACTTTTCCTGAATGATACCTGGCGTACGTCATGTTAAATCTTTTACGCCTATTTAACCAAGAATCCAAACTTGATAAAAGCGTTGTTGACGTATCTTTTAGTAAATCCTAAAATCAATTAACATAGCGTCTTATGAAATGATGCTGAAACCTTTTGCTGTGTATTGATGATAAGATATTTAATGTCAGATAATTGAATTTTGCTTATATTTTCTTAACTTTGTCATTTATTTTTTAGAAATGATTCATACATAACACAACATTTGTGACTAGACATACCTATATATATACATATTAGAATAAAGAAAAGAAAAACTTCATTTTCTATTCTTTAATTTTCTTTTTGAACCGTTTGTTTCTTTTTTTTCTGCAGTTACTGTTAATCCGCAAATTAAATAATATAACAGATAATAAGATCAGTCTATGCGAAAGTCAATTTTTTTTTTCAGGCCACAAGGACCGGCACCATTAGGTTTATTTCCGGCCCGAATGATTTTTTTTCCGGCCCGGACATTTCAAGCATTAAATCAAACTAAAAATACGGGATCGGTTTACAATAAAAAATCCTGAAATCACATTACAGTAACATATTTTATTGTTTATTCTTATTCATTTTATTATCAGGTTATTGTTGTTCATTTGCAAACATTGATATTTTTTTGGAGTTTAGCTCTTCATCCTGGAAATCACTAAAGTAGTCACTGTCATCATCATAATCTAAATCTATGTCTGAGTCTAAATCTGACTCAGAGTCACTCGCAGATTGTTCAATATGAATTTCTTTTTGCTGCATCTCTGCGATGATAACTTGATCATCTTGTTCCTGAACATCTGAATTTTCTAGGGCACTTTCGGTTGCTCTGGAAACAGTACTCTCTGGCTCTTGGGTGACATTATCCTTGGGATTCTTTGGGGTACGGAAGTAGTTCAGCCTTCTACCAGCCCTTGGTTTCAAACTATTACCCTGAATATGAAATCAATTTTCATCAAATCAATAAGATTTATTCAAGCACTGAATTTTGACATTTTAATTTCTTTTACATTATATAACCTGTATAAATATATTTCAACAAATAATTTGAATTGCACAAAAAATAGATGTGCTATATCATAATTTTACAAAGTCATCAGTCATGTAATTTCTTAAGTTATTACATTTTAAAGCTTACCAGCCACATGTCTATAGAGGGTTCAGGGTTTAACAATTCAATACTCGGGCTATTAAGATTCACTTGCATCAAAGTATCCAGTGTACCTTGCTTCAATTTAAGTCTGCGATGGGTCTTTAAAAGCTTTAGCTGTGAGAATGTTGTCTCACAAGGCACACTGGTTGGTGGAAGACTGAGGAGTATGTCAATAAGTTTATAGAGCTGACAAAACTCCTCTTCATTTGCATGCAGGTCTGCCAATGTCATTGATGTCAAAGAGTCTCCATGTCTGAAATAAACAGTTATTACGGTGCAATTATTAAACATTTGATACAGTTAACATACTTATGGCATCTTAAAAATTTTAGTTATGCACATTTAAAAGTTATTTATTGATCAATCAATGACATCTTTACACAAACTTTTATATTAAAAAAAATAATTTATTGATTAATTATCTTTCAGGTAAGAAGTAAATAAAAGTGAAGCACAAAAGCAACACCTATTGTATTGTAAAAAGTTTGAATATCAACCTTTTCTTCATTATCTTCTTGAAAGATATCCACTGTAGGCTGACAGTATCTGTAGAAAATTCCCCATCAGAATTTCTTAAGGAATGTCGCATAGTGCCGGGCAGCCATTGTGACTTCTTCATGTCCAAATGCTGCATTGTAAAATATGGATCGTTATGATAAAGTTAGTTTAAACAGATGTCATCAAAATTTTAAAAGGACAGGAGGTAATAGTTTTCCTGGAATATTGTATTCAATTTACTGTTAGGTTTTAAATTTATCAAATAATTTGCATTTTGTACTGTACAATAACAAAGCACACAAATTATCATTTTGTTTTGGGGGATAAAATCATATCAAGTTGGTTTGTTAACTGAATAAAAAAAAACACCAACTTTCAATCTGAAAAACAAGAGGCAACAAAAATAAAAATCAACAGCAACAACAACAACAATATTTTTTTTAACTTTCGAATAACACATCATTGTGTGTCGGCCAACTTTTTGTCCTTAGGATTTTGATTGCTTTGACAAGCGTCATAGAATCTCTATCCAAGTCAAATCTGATTTTTAATGCAGAACAAATGCCCTGGATTACATCAGATTTGTAAGACAGTGTTGGTGATGACCCTCGTAAATTGTTGTGGCCAGTGGTTATTAAGTCATTAATTTCTTTCATTTCCCTGTTAAGATTAAACTTATATATTGAAATAACTTGATGATAAATTATCATTTTAAGCTTTTTTTACATAATATGTAAAATCACAGAAATAGCAAAGACAATAATTTATGCTGATAACAAATGTAGGTTACAGTACCTTGTTTCCAAACTCATAACTAGCTCCATTGTTGTTTCTATCCAAGCCATGGCATGTGCTAAGGTTATATCTTGGCGTTGCAGCTTTTCTTGCAAATTACACAGGGGCTCAAGAAGTTTCTAAAATGCATTAATAATGTGTATATCGATCAGTGCATTAATAATGTATGTATACATATCAATCAATGTCTTATGGAATGTTGGTTTTGCCAAGAATGATGATTGAATTTGAGTGAAATTTGTATTGATTAATCTCTTCAAACGGTTTAATTTCCTTCAGAAATGATTTATTTAAATATAGTTGAAATACTGTTTGTTTCAAATATCAAAAATGTAAACCTGCATAAAAAGGGCAAAAGTTAGGACATGCTTGTCTAGCATAATCTTCACTAGCCCTTCAGCCTTGGCATTTGTGTGGCTAGCATCACTCATATGGGTGTTGTATGCATTGAAGTTTCGGAGTAGAACAGCTATGCCTTGTTTCATATGAGGAAGCCAGCGGGTACCTGTAACTTTGGGTGGCATATGGGGCTTAACTTTAATAACCTCAAATGCACTCATAAGTCCTTTTTTGTTTTTATATTGCTTTGTGTAGAAGTAGTAAACCCCAATAAGAAGTGTCATTAACTTCTCATAAAGCTTGTTTTTCTTCACAGCATCTCTAAATGCCAACCCAAGGCGGTGACTGAAACAATGAACATTTACAAAATGCTCCCCGATATCTTGCTTCAAGAGTGTTGCCAGTCCTCCCTTGCTTCCAACCATATTTGATGCTCCATCTGATCCGAGGCCAATCATTTTATCTAAAGTATACTTTAAAAGCTGAGATGCAAAGCAAAAGAAAATGTAGAAAAAAAGTCCAGTAAAGGGGTTAGAAATGACCAAATGAGCTTGACGTAAAGAACAGGATACAGCAAACATATTTTTCATATTTATAAAAGTGAACACACAAGCATTCATAAGTAAAATGCAGTTAGAACTTTACATAAAAATGAAACAGTGATTTTATGGTTCAGGATTTGATGAAAGTTCACAATTTAATTACTGTGATATGATTTTTATAAGCTTTTTTATATTAGGTAGTAAGACAAAGTCTAAAACCTTTATTCAATTTAAGTGCTCCTATGGCCCCATCAACAAACTCTTTAAGATCTTTGGAGCATGTGCTTTTTGGGGAACCGATGCCAGCAAACCGTTCAATTATTTTTCCATTTAATGCAGCTCTAATATAAACACATTCCTGTTCATCACCCGACAAATCTGTTGTACCATCCATTAATAAAGAGTATGCAGGTGCTGTGTTTGTAAGTTTGGTAGTCTTGTCCCTCTCTGCATCTGCAATGTAAGATAAAAAAACAAGAGCAGACTTTGGGTTCCTGTAAGTTTTTCCTAAATCAACACCATTTGCCTCATTTACATCACATAGCCAAGTGAAATCTCTGAGGGGACGGCCTTGTTTACCCAGTCCATGTGCTGCCCGAAACAAACAGGCAATTCTATGCTTCTCTGATGCCTTCATAGACAGAAGTGTCTTTCCAGCAACAGATTTTGCTTGCTGCACTGGGGTAGAATGTTTGGCCTTTTCCCTAGAAATTGCATTTACATGGCTTGTACTATTTTCATGATCAGTGATTGAGGACTTTTTCATATTTGTGCTACCTGTTATGAAGGCATTTTTTCCTTTTAAATTTGATCCGCCAGACCCCGATGTACCATAAACATTAATACAGGCAGAACATGTTATAACCCCCTTTTCCTTATCAAATTTTAACCAAGGACGCCCTATTTGCCACTCATAGTTGAACGATCGATCTACCCGTTTTTGTTCATAATCTTTCCAGCGTTTTTTAGCATCGTCCTTGGTTTCACTTTCACTTTTCTTTCGTTTGATAGGTTGGCCGGGTTTTGCCCCTTCAACATATTTCAGTGAAAGCATATTTAATATATTTGCAATGTTTTAAATGCTAATTTAATAATATTTATAATAATATTTGTATGAAAACGAAATCACCTGATTATCGTAGCGTGACCTTCAGTGTAGAATCAAAACAAACGCGCTTATATGCTGGGAACCGGCAAGTCATGCGGAGTGATTTCCCTTTTCAGCAATAGCATACGTCATCAAAATGTTTACTATCCGGCTATAGTCGGCCATTTAAATTATAGTGTGACGGAAAATAGCGGAAATAAAATATGCATGACGTAGCTGAGGTATGCAAATTAAGCTGTCAAAACAAAATGTTGATGACGTTATCAATAAAAAGGTCATTTATATATTTATAGCTTCTGGAATTTTTATTCGGACACGAGGACTGACGGAAAGGAAATTTATCTCGGACCGCATGATTTTTATTCGGCCAGGACCGAGGACCGACGGACTTTCGCACAGACCGTAAGATAGATACCTGCTTAAAAGATAACAAGTTAATGATAAAATGTTGGCAAAAGTTTGCTATCATGCGATATGCCATTGATAAATAATGTAATAACCGTATTCTTTTGTATATCAGCCTACATTTATTTACAAGTACCCAATTGAAAGGTATACTGTGCCTGCTTGTACAAAGATTTAGAAAGATATATTTATGTATGCTATATAGGGTAAATCATGTAATTGATGAGATGTTATTGTTACAAACACACATACGTTAGATACTTTAGGATAGTTAAGAATGTTTAGTTGTTCTTCTATTGTTATGTTTAGCTTTATTTATTATTTGGAATGGGGTTTTCAAGTAAATATCATACAAGATAAAATATAAGTTTAAGCACATGCATTATGCTTATCCCAATAAGTCATAATAAAGTTGCTGTGCTTATTACATTTTGTATTAGTTTGAATAGACGTTATGGAATGGTACTTATGTGTCACATTGAAGGTTCCATGATAATCGCCATATGAACACATCTGCGGATGTTTCAAAATTCCAAATTTTACCAGTTCATGTTAAATGTTGAATTCTGCTGGGGCGTGGACGGTAATTTGCACTTGACAGTACCGTCCATGAACAGGCTCGATCAAACCGAGCCTGCAACTTTTTCAATTTTGCCGTGTTGGGCTTTCTTTAGGGATTCATATTTTCTCTATTTTATCGCCACATCAGCGTTTTTTTAAGCCGTGTGGAGGCTGTAAAAAGTCGCCCCGTACAATCAATCAGATATGTTATATTTCCGTTCCTTAAAGATCGTTCAGCACGACATTATTGTTGTGCTTGTGGTTATTTAATTCTTTCTATTCGGCTGTTTTCTTATTGGGTGGTTCCAATATTCCTCACTTGAATACTGTTGAATAACCCTAAGGATATGTGGCCTGCTTTTAAAATTTGTCATTTGACGTATTATCTGTGATATGCAGGCTTCATATCCTCTGATCCCCTTTCAAAATTCCATTTTATTTAGTTCCGCCCATTGTTTTCTTCTTTAGGGCACACACATTTTTTTACTTGGGGACAATATGTCGCTTTTTATGAAATGGCACTTATGTGTCACATTGAAGGTTCCATGATAATCGCCATATGAACACATCTGCGGATGTTTCAAAATTCAAAATATCATATTTTCCCTATTTTACACGGTATCAAATTGTAATGCGCTTTAATTGGCACAGTAGTCCTGTGCCTGTGTTTTAGACAATACGTTTACTTAGACTTTATATATTGCGTAATTTCAGTCTGACTTCTAAATTTGAAGCGAGAATTGAACCATCATGAAAGAATTTGTATGGAACAGAATCAATGCATTTATTCTATCTTGCTTAGTGACATTGAAACTTGCCTTATGCTTTATTCCATCTTGCTTTATGATATTTAAACTTTATATTATGCTGGATTCCATTGTGCATTATGTCATTCAAACTTGATGTAAAAAGTCTCCCAGTACATTTAATCAATGATGTTATATTTTCTATCCTTGAAGATCGTTCAGAACGACATTATTGTTGTGTATACATGTTATGTGGTACTTTTAGTTTCTTCTATTTGGCCATTTTCAACTTTGGTGGTTCCAGTATTCCTACTTGAATACTGTATAATCACCCTTAGGATGTGTTGCCTGCTTTTTTAATTTGTCTTTTGACGTTTTATCTGTGATATGCAGGCTCCATAACCTCTGATCCCCTTTCAAAATTCCATTTTATTTAGTTCCGCCCATTGTTTTCTCGTTTAGGGCAAAAGCATTCTTTTACTTGGGGACCATACGCCGCTTTTCATGAAATGGCACTACTGTGTCACATTGAAGGTCCCATGATAACCGCCGTATGAACACATCTGCGGATGTTTCTAAATCTAAATTCAAAATTTCACCATTTTCGTGTTAAATGTTGAATTCTGCTTAAGCAGGTGCTAGGGGGCGTGGGCGGTAACTTGCACTTTCCAGTACCGTCCATGAACAGGCTCAATCAAACCGAGCCTGCAACATTTTCAATTTTGTTGTGTTGGACTTTCTTTAGGGATTCTGTTTTTCTCTATTTGATCACTTTGTTTCCAGATTTTCGCCCAGTGACTAATTTTTTCAATTTATAAAATTTAGTACGTCAGGCAACCGTCAACAATGGCCGCGTCCAATGTTGTATGTATCTATTGCAAACATATTAAAAATTTGATTAAGTGAAAATCCAGGTAGTTTTCGTCTAGTTTTTAGAAACTAATTTCAACTTGGTATGTCTTTCTTCCATAATCAGCTTTGGTTTATCAAATATATATGTTATCAAATATATATCAAATTCGGACATGCTATGTTTTTTATGAATCAGTAATAAAGTATCATTTATACACACCACATTGTACATGATACTTATATTTACTTTAGATCAAATTATAACAGTTACTGTAATTGATGATTAAAAATAATGGGAACAAATGTGTTTTCTGATCAATTCAATTTAATAAGAGCTGATGAGAATGAGAAAAATTATTGATTTTCAGACTTAATGGGGCGTATAGTTCAGCTATATACAGCCAGGGTAGTTTAATGTCAGAACGCCACTTGAGAAAAATTTCTATGGCGGTTTGGGTTCAAATCCCAACCCTGGCTAATACCGAGAAAATTTTATATCATGTTTACTTTCATATAAATAAAGGATACATTACTTCAGAATTTTTGTGCCATAAATTACATCAATATTAACTCTTTTTTAAAACACTTCATTAACTAAACTTTTGGCCAAAAAGACATTCATTTTTAAATACAGAAAAAAATATCCACAAGGTAGTGTATGATTATAATTCTATAAGTAGTAATTTCTAGCTGTTATCAATTATATGTCATCTTCTTTCAGGATAAATCAAAGCTTTGTGATGCCTTGATGTCATATAATAAGACATTGGGTGTACAGATAGGCACACTAAAGAAGCAACAGATAGATGCAATTTTGGCAGTTTTAAGTGGTAATGATTGCATCTGTTCTCTCCCAACTGGGTATGGCAAATCTTTGGCCTATGAACTTTTGCCATTGATCGAACCAGCATTTTTGGTTATTGTGGTTGTTCCCATCAATGCCATTATTGAACAGCAGTTGAAAAAACTTGGCAATATGGCCATTTCTTCAATTTTATTTCATTCTTCCACCTAAAACCACCAACTTAAACAAAAGTAAAAAGTACTTTAATCAAATTTTCAGCTGAAGGAGGCCATTCTGTCTAATTTGCAGAAACTAGATGAAAAATGCCATATAAGACTTATCTTTTCAACTGTGGCACTATGTATGGGAGCCGACCTAAAACATGTTAAGATGGTTATCCATGCAGGTTCTCCAATTTCACTAGAAAGTATATTTGTTTCTACATTTAATATTATTTTGGAAAAATTTACTATCTCACTAGATCTGTACATATGTAATTCAGGAGTACAACTTAAGTTTATTGGTAAACTTAAACTTCTAAGTAAAACAATTTCCCGTATCATGCACTGTGTTCAAACTTATACTTTGAGGAACATAATTAACGTAATTTGATCAAATAAAACAATGGCATTATAATGCAGCATACATATGACTACAATTGTTATATATGATTTAAGCAAGAGCAACAGAAAGCACTTCTGACTTTTATTAGCTCACCAGAGCGGAAGGCTCAGGGTGAGCAATTAGTATCAAAGGGGGTTGCTCCGGCGTCCGTCGTCCGTCGTCATGCGTCAACAATCGCCTTCTTCTCTGAAACTACAAGGCAGATTTACTTCAAATTTGGTTTGTAGCATCCTTGTGACAGTCACACTTGGATTTGCTCATGTCATTTTAATTGGCCCCTTTTAGGGGCCGCTTTAGCTAAAAATAGAAAAACCTTTAAATGTCTTTTTCTACAGAACTAATTGATGGATGATCTCTAAACTTTGTCTGTAGCATTCTTAGGTAGTCTTTTATCAAATGTGCTCATATTATCTTGATTGGCCACTTTTAGGGGTCACTAGGGATAAAAAATAGAAAAACCTTTAAACATCTTCTTCTTCAGAACTAATGGATGGATGATCACCAAACTTTGTCTGTAGCATTCATGGGTAGTCTTTTATCAAGTTTGCTCATATGAATTTGATTGGCCCCTTTTAGGGGCCACTTAAGCTAAAAATAGAAATACCTTTAAATGTCTATTTCTACAGAACTAATTGATGGATGATCACCAAACTTTGTCTGTAGCATTGTTGGGTAGTGTTTTATCAAGTTTGCTCATATTAATTTGATTGGCCCCTTTTAGGGGTCTCTAGGGCTAAAAATAGAAAAACCTTTAAACATCTTCTTCTACAGAACTAATTAATGGATGATCACCAAACTTGGTCTGTAGCATTCTTGTATAGTCTTTTATCAAGTTTGCTCATATTAATTTGATTGGCCCCTTTTAGGGGCCGCTATAGCTAAAAATAGAAAAACCTTTAGACATCTGCTTCTGCAGAACTAATTGATGGATGATCACTAAACTTTGTCTGTAGCATTCTTAAGTAGTCTTTTATCAAGTGTGCTCATATTAATTTGATTGGTCCCTTTTAGGGGCAGCTATAGCTAAAATTAGAAATATCTTTAAACGTCTGCTTCTACAGAACTAATTGATGGATGATCACCAAACTTTGTCTGTAGCATTCTTAGGTAGTCTTTTGTCAAGTGTGCTCATATTAATTTGATTGGCCCCTTTTAGGGGCCGCTATAGCTAAAAATATCTGGAGCAATTATAGCTAAAATGCCCTGGGCCATGGCATTTCAAAATATTGTTTAATAATGAAAGGAAAATAACTCATGTTGGAATGTTTCCATATATGTGTACATGGATACATGTGAACTCTCCCAATTGGAGCGGAAGACACCTTCTTTCTCCTGTCAAATTTTTAAATATTTTTCTTAGAATAAGGGGTGTTTGAAAAAAATAAAGAAATCTCCCTTCTTTTTCAATTCCAAAATTTCCTGTCAATT